ACTATTTGCCTTTTTCAAAATTACATTTATAGAGTAATATATCTAGCAAACTGGTGGAACTGAATGGTCAAAGAAAATTATAATAGGATAGACTCCTATGAATGACCGTGGAAAAGGGCTGGGTGGGTCATAAAAACAGAGGGGGGGGGGTTGTCATTTATTACCCTGAGGATAACAGGGGGAGAAGGGGAATTATCTTCATTTTGAGAGCCTGGACTATAATATGCAAATTTATCAAAACTTACAAAATTATTATATGACAGAGTTATAATTTGGGCAAGAAAAGTTAAAATAGTGATGTGCTGAATTCATTGTTACAAAGAGCAATCCCCCCTTTTAACCAATAAACGTTTTACAGCATTTTCTTTTAAATATTGAAAACATTATTTCCATGGTAGGAAGTAACTGAGAAATGGTGAATCTGACATATAGTAAGTAGTATGCTTCGCTTCTGAAGCTCGGCATGGAGGGCCGGAGAGGGCCTGGCATTCCTTTTGGTTGTTCTAGCTAGCTAGCAGCAACTGATGAGAAAGTCCCGTAGAATCTCCCCGTCAGTCTCCCTGAGATTACGCTGAGATCCAACAGATGGAAGCAAAGCAGCATCAGCTGCTGAACTCAAGAGCCAACGGTGGTGCTGGTCTCTGACTGCAGAGGGTGGCAGGGCGGGGGTCTCGCTCGTCAATACTGATACCCTCTGTAGTGGGGAAATCCTGCAGGTACTGAGTCTGAGAATGGAGGCGGAAACAGCCTCAGCAAGGCCCCAATTGCTGCTCTGCACGCACCGCGGCCAAGAGCCCTGCCCCACTTCAGCGAGGTTCCTGCTTCTGAATTACAGGGATGTTTCCAGAAGAACAGAGATTCCAAATGTTTTAACCGTAACTAGCAATGATTAACAATCAAAGAAACAACTTCATGGTGTCACTGGCTGCCAAAAAAAAAATGATAAAACAGAGTTTAATCTCCTAAAAAAAAAGATAAAACTGTTTTCCAAAACTTAACATATATACAGTGGGGCCTTGACTTACGTGTGTCCCGAGTAACGAGTTTTTTGAGATACCAGCTGTCTCTCGGCTGATTTTTTGCATTGAGTTGATAGAGTAATTTGAGTTAACGAGCTCCTTAACGAGCTCGGTCTCAGAACGAGTTAAACTCGTAAGTCAAGGCCCCACTGTATTTGCTTTAACTATGCTTCTTCAAGGGGTAAGTCTGAGGTCATCTTTTCTATCCCACTAGAGATGACAAGATTACTGGAGACAAACCTTTTTTATATGCATACAAGTATATTTTAGTCGTTAGAAGTGCTTACTTTTGTTGAAAATCCTTGATCAATTTCTTTGCCTTGTTGTATTTCTTTTCCAAGGCCTGATACTGGCTTTGGGTCTCTTTGAGGTGTTCGTTGACTGTGTGGCATAGTGTTTGAGCCTCGATCCAGTAGCTCTCTAACTTCAACATTCTTTCTTTATTCTCTTCTATATTCTGCTGGAGTTGAGTTTTTTCTAGTTCCCACCTCACTTTCTCATTTTCTGCTGCCTGCAGCTGGATAAAAAAAAAAAAAAAATCTGGGTACATCTATACCAAAAATCCCCCACATTTTAATAATAGCATGGTTTTGATTAAATTCAACTGTTAGATATACTCAATCACCAAACACCTTGAGATGAGAAGCAAAAGCATTATTTTCATTATTTTACAGATTATAAAATGGAAGCCTTGAAAAGTGAAATGCTTTGTCCAAGGCCGAACCGAACGTCTGATAAATGACAAAACATGGGGTTGACTCCAATTCCCATTATCTTTCCATCACTGGATGCGGTGTGAAATTCAGTGAGCAGTAAAAAATGTTTTAGAGTTTTTCTAATTCTAGTCAATGAATTTCAGCAGGTTTTCCTTTGGATATATATATTTTTTTAAGTATAATACGTTAAAATTTAAATGAAAAGGAGAAAGTGACAGAGCACAGTGTGGCCTATTGGTTGGCGGGGAGGGGGGCTTTGGAGTGGTTTATAGTTGAACCCAGCTGTCACTATTAGCCTTTAAAAAATTAATTTTTTTCAATTACAGTTTAGAGATTTTTTTAAAAAAATGTATAATATGTAAAAAAGAGAGAGGAGAGACAAGCTGGAAAGAAGAAAGGGGCAGAAGCACAGTGTGGCCTGTCGGTTGGCAGGAAGGGGGCCCTCTGGAGTCATTACATTTAGATTTGAGTCCTAGCCGGGCCACTATCAGCCTTTTTTCCCATTTATTTGTTGTAATTATTTTTTTCAGTTACAGTTTACATTCAGTATTATTCTGTTTTAGTTTCAGAAGTACAGCAAAGTGGTTAGTAGTGCTTTACAAGTGCTCCCCTCCCCCATGCTTCAGGCAGCCACCTGGCCCCCAGGCACAGCCATCACGATGCCTTTAAATCTTGGGCAAATAACTTAAGTTCTCTAACTAGCCCATGCTTGGAACAGCTTCTTGCACATAATTATAATCTGATAAATTTAGTTATTCTTATTTTGCTTTTATCCCTTTTGTTGATATTATTACATCCTTTATTTCAATTGACATGAACACAGTTTTTAGCTCATTATTCTGCTGGCAGTGTTCAGAGCTTTATAAACCCCAATCTGCAGGAAAGTATAAAAGATAATGTAAGTAAAAATATAAATAATTGTTGAATTAATTTAAATCCCTCCAGTGGAACAGAAAGGCAGCTTCTTATTTCCGCTTCCAGGGACTGTTAGGAATAGATAATAGTAGTCCCACTCCCTCATTTCTACAGAAACTAAGGCTGATCCTTTCTTTAGGTGAGGGGTCCAAGGTCATTTATTCACAATAACTATCTGACCTTTAAACAAGGGTTTCATCTATTTCACACACCTCGTTTAAAGTTCAAAAGCATGCAGAATCATTATATAAACTATTTTTAAATTCCAAGACATCCCAAAATCATACAGCATTCAGCAAATTAAAAAATGTTATACAATATATTTAGTTTAATATATATATATTAAACTATATATATATATTAAACTATATGTAAACTATATATATAATATATATATATTAAACTAAATATATTGGCAAAACAGATTACAAAGTAAAAAGTAGCAAAAATAACATTTCAAAATTAGGCATTGTTTTATCAACAGAGACATTAAGAGTCATAATAAAGTAAGCTAATCTATGGATCTTATATGCCAATATAATAATGAGAAAAATAAAACACTAATTTATTGGATTTTCTAAATTCAATGTTTACAGTCTAAAACATAAGCTTTGTTAAAGCACTTACAATCACAGGGGAATCTTTTCCCTAATTGTAACCGACAATTAAAAAAACACTTCTATTCTTCCATTCTGTGCCAAGAAACAATAGCAACTTAAAACAGGACTGGGAATTTACTGCATCTTTTATTAAGCAATGTTTTGCACTCAAGTTGTTTATTTACTAACCATCACTAATTTAAAAATTATTATTCACAGAGCTTGGCTGATACCATGAATGATGTATAGGCATGTTTTGACTAAAGAGCTACAGAGTTATTAGCTGGGAATACCATTTAACCAAAATAGCCTTGCTAATTAATCTCCATTTAAAACACATGGAAAAACCAAAACAAGCGTTCAATGTGAACAGAAAAACAGATTGTTAGTGGTAGAGGAGGAATTATGTCTTAATTTTAAAAATACCATAAATACAATAAAGAATATTGTTTTTAAAGTAATTCAAAAGATTTTTTAAATCTCTGAAACTACATATTTGATGAAACTAGACACAATTCTAGGAATGTACAAGTACCTTATAACTTACCAACTAAAAAAATGCCCTTTTGAGTCTTATAAATAAACTAAAAAATACATAAAACCTTCCATCATGACCTGTTTTTCCCCACAAATTTAAAAAATGTGAACTAAAGGACTGAAAATTTCCAGAAGCATCTGGCACCTACAAGCAACTATTCATATATTAAATTTCATGATATTTATTAGAAATTGAAATTTTTTTCTATACAAAATTAATGTGCTTTGTTAAAATACATTGTTCCTGAGGAATAAATGAAAAATAAATGGTTAAACCTATCTATAATAAACCTACCTAAAATTTAAAAAAATAATAAAATAAAAAGAAAGAGATACAGTCTAATAACTTGTGCATAAGGAATTAGTGGTCAAAATGTAATTGAGATTCATGAACCATTAAAAATATTTACTTTTGGGGGGAAAGCTCTCAGGAAACTACATATGTGAAATATGTAAATATGTATTTTTAAAATATTGTGCAATTCTCACTAAGGGGGTATGGTGGTGCTCACACCCCACCCCCATGGTGCAACTCTCACTGCCAGATTCATCCATGCATCTAACAGTGGACATGAATCTGTGACATTTGTATTCTTTCAAAGGTACGGGAACAAATCCTTTAGTCCCAGGGCTGAATTTATTCATAGCCTCCGAAGTTTAAAAAGTACAATTCAAACTCCATGTATTGACTGGTGCGCTTACCTTGGTCTTCAATTTTTGAATCTCTGCTTCTGTAACTGCATGTTTGATTTGCAGCTGAAAATTGAAAAGAAAGAAATATCGGAACTAAGAAAGTCTATCTATATTTTTAAGGTCTCAGCAACTAGAAGAATATCGTGTTGCACAGCAGAAGGCCTAGAAAAGTGCTGCAAGGCAGCAGGTTGTAAATTAAAATGCCCAGTGCGGAAAAATGACTTACTAGGTGCAAACTAATTATACGCAGGGCCTAGGGCCCACACTCCCTAACAGAGGAGTAAGTTACGATTTAATTGATCAGGGACCAAAGAGAAGAAAACACATTTGCTTGCTAACCCTTTGCAGCTCTTCTTTAGGATTTGGATACCACGCAATTGTTTCCTTGCAGTCCTGGCACTGAAATGCCTAGGCAGGAAAGTCAGCCAGTGGCTGTATGAAGATGCTATCCCAAACCTGGAGGACAGGTGGCGCTGTGGTACCACGAGTCACTAGGCTGAGCAGCTCTTTTGCTGCAAAGAGGGAGCGGAGGATGATGCAGTTCCACGGCGGAATCGGTGTTTATTTTTTAATTGCAGGAAAGGTACAGATCTAGATTTCTGTCCTCCAAAACATCTCCTTCTGTTGAAAACCAGGGTTTCAAAAGCTTCCGTTACAGTTTATTAGCACGAGCCCCTCTATTTACACATTTGTTTTGCTTCTCCTTCCCGCCCTCCACCCCCACTTTTTTTCCTTTTCTCTGTGAAGGAAGAAAACAACATACTCATTTCCTCCAGGGATAAATACACCAACATTTACGGAAAACAATATGTGGGGTGACAATCTCCTCTCTCAGATCCCTGGGGCCAAATGCGTTTGGAATTCAGAATTCTTCCAATTTCAGAAGGGTAGAAAGAAGCATTTTCCCCTAAGTCGCTATTACCCACAGCAGGTTCTGTGGAGGCGCTCTGTAATCAAACCCACGAATATTTTTGCGTAAGACTATTTCCACTAAGTGAGGGAAAGAGAAATTGTAAATAATATCCTGTCAGCTTGAGTCATGTTTACCCCCAAATGAGTTTGCCGCAGAAGTATTTTAGAAATCTGTTTTCAGACCATATTGGATTTGGGATTGAACAAAAGGGGCTGGAAACTTCTAATATTACTGTAATCAAGTAAGCCTAAGGTTTTCTTATCAGAAAGCCAGATGGAAGGACAGAAACGCGAACCTTTGGAGATGACGACGCCTCAGCAACCTCAGCTCTCTCTTTAGTTTGTAACCTGCGTTTTCTTGATTTTTACCTGGCCACCACGGGCATATGGGCAGAATGAAGAGGGAAAGCAGGATGACCTAATATCCGTAAACGCCAATGAATAAAAGCTAAGACCCTGGGCGCCCCTGAGCTCCTAGCAGAGGGCTCCCTCCTGGGCGCTCTCGGGGCTCCTACTCGGTTGAAAGCCCTGGGGTCTGCCCTGCTGCAGCGCTCACTGCCCTCCGCCCGGTCCTCCGTCCTGAGGGGTGACCCTGACAGCTGTTCACATTCCGTTCTGCCCCACACACATCACTTATCTTCCTCTCCCGCTCGGGGACCTGGCGGCTCCTGCGGTCTCGCCCGGTGGCTCTTGCGTTTTTCACCCTCCCTGGTTCCCAGGCGCCTCTGCAGGCTACCCGGGAAGAAACACCTGGGACCCGACAATGCCAGGCAACCCAGCCTCACACGCCCGAGTGCCCAAGTGGACACTCCAACTGTGGGCCTTCGGATGAACACAGCCCTGCAGAATGCCCAGCCTTATGCTTCTGCATTCACGTGAGATGGGAAACCAGGCTCCTGGCCAGACACTGACCCGGCCCAATGCTCACAGGGAATTGCTGTGAAAACCAGGATTTGGAGCCTTGATCTTCTGGTGCCGGACCCAGTGCCATTTCATTAGAGATTAATTCAACAGGCATTTATTAAAGAGCTGTTATGTGCCAGGTGACATGAAAATAACTCCTTCTCCTTCTAATAAATACCACTGTTAATCCACCCTACCAATATGAATAAACTAAAAATGGCAAAAGTGCTTAGATGTTAGACATGATACATTAATTATACGTAAACATAAATATATTCATGCACGCACACATACACACATATATGGCTATAAGGAATTGTTTCCCATGGAGACCTTGCACTTCAGTGTGCACACACTTGGGCACCCAGCAAATCCATGTGGCTAACTGGAGTATGTGCAATTATTATTGACAAGATCGAGTCCTTGCACTTTCTACCACGTGCCAAGTGTGAAGAGGGCAGCAGGTCCTCAATGTCCATTTCACTGTGGACGGTTGTTTCACTATAATATTGATGAGCTACCGAACTTAACTCATTTTTATCAATTAGTCACAGTTCTAAGAACCTACCTACGACTTTAAAAGAGGATCTACTGCAGTTAAGTTACATTGATTGAATTCACCTCAGGCCTATCATGTAATGATGTTGGAAAGTTATTTAACCTCTCTTACCTTCATTTCCCCCATCTGTAAAATGAAGTTCCTCATAGGTCTGACCCTTCCTTATTGGGTCAGTTGTTAACAAGTAATCAGTCCTCTATAAAGGTAGCCAAGATTAAGAAAGAGTGAACAGAAGAGGTCAACTATGATTACCTCAATGCCGCTTGTCCGTAAAAAGTGTTAATGCTGTACAATGTCACACCTGAAATAAAACAGACACCTCTGCTTCTAGCTGAAGAGTGGCGAGAGGTGAAAAGGGCAGATCTTACAATGAGCACCGCCACTATGGGCGAGTGCCAGCTTTTATGTTCTCAGTGGTAATCCTTGTAGGACAGTGGTTCTCAACCATGGCTGCACATTAGAATCACCTGGGAATCTTTTTAAAATCCTGATTTCCAGGCCTCATCCTCCGGAATTCTGTTTCTTTGTTACTAATGTTGTAGCCCCACCCCATAACAAAGAAACAGAAATTCCGGAGGATGAGGCCCGGAAATCAGGATTTTAAAACAATTCCCAGGTGATTCTAATGTGCAGCCAAGGTTGAGAACCACTGCTGTAGGACACTGTACACAATGTGTCCAGACTTTGGATTTTCTCTGCTCAATTACTGTGGCCTCTAGCAAGATGCTTCTCTGGGCCCCAGCCTCCCATTTGAAAAATGAGGGGCTGGATGGGAAGAACTCCAAGGCCCTTGCAAGTACTACAGGTGTGACATTTATGAAATGGAGAGCCCGGAGATGGCTGTCATGGTTGCAGAGTCTAAGTTCCTGTCCAAAACCAGCATTTTCATTCCTATGAATGTACATGACAGATTAACCCACCGATGTGTGGGATAAACTTAGGACACCAGGCAAGCTGGTCTTCAGTTACCCCACCTCTCCTACCTCACCAAAACGGGTGACAGAAGAGAGCTGAACTCATTAGCAGAACCCTGATAAAAGCTTCGAGTGTTCCTAAGTGCAGCCAAAGGCTTTAGATACAAGAAAGCAGAATGAAGTAATTATTCAGAAGATGGACAAAAGTTTTGGTGCAAAGTATTCTTAGTACTGACAGGCCTAAAATTATAGATATGCGATTATTTTAATCCTGTATGGACATTAAAAGAATTTCTACAAATTTATCACTATTAACAAGAAAAGCATAAAAAATAAACTAATTGAACTCTTTCATTTTATAGGAAAAGAAAGTGTGTTTCAGTAGCTTAAGTTGCAGAGCTAACAAGTATCAAAGCCAGGTTTTATAAATTCCAGTCCATGGTTTTTTCCACGGGGACCCTTTATCTTTTTTATCATTTCCTTCAGCATTGCCCATGAGACTGAGGGAAGCAAGACAGGCACGATAAATCACATTGTTCAGATGGGGAAAGGGGCTCAGAAGTTACATGGTTTCTTCCAGTCCCCAGATGTGTGGTGGAGTGGAAATTATCCCAGGTCTGATGCCCCCGACTGTGTTCCCCGACTGTGCACCTAATCTGAACCAGTTCTGGGATACATTTTTTCATTTAAACCTCACAAAAAACCCGGCAGCATATGTCATGGTTGTCACCTCCAGATGAGAACGCATTTCTCTGACTGGAAACCATGGGTTACTCTGCTGGCCTCTGAGTATCCTGACACTGACTACCAAGTGCTGCTCAAGCATCTGCATGCCAGGTTGGCATCAGACTTCTACTTTACATCCTGTAATGTCAGCCTAAAACAATGAAGCTTGTCCTACTACATTTCAGGAAATAAAAATATTAAACCCAGCTAATGATTCTTTCTGTCATGATAATTAGACTGTCCCATTCTCAGTATGGCAAAGTCATGAAAACTATACCCTCCACAAGTACTTAAACATTAAGATGAATTCTGAGAAAGAAAAGATCTAGAACTTAGGAATTAATTAGGAAATTCTGGTATAGAGTGACCAAGAGGTAACTGAGTAAAACTATTTGTTGTACTACGTATTTTATTAAGTTAACTGAAAACATAAGTTTTAAAAAATGTGACAATTAAGTTTTAACAACAATCTTGTCTTAGAAACCAAGACTGTATCAAAAACTTCTATATGGAACATTCAAATGATAATGCTTTGTTCTTAATAGTAAAAATTGTATTAATAGAGAATACTTTTTAAAAACTTGAAAATAATCCCTAGCAAAAATCAACAAACATAAAAAAATGTAAAACATAAAACAAGATGAGCTCAATTAGACCTTGAATAATTAAACAACAAATTTGTAACAATTTAAATTGCTAGATTTTCTTAGATAGTATTTTTAAATTTTACAATAAAGATAGAAACCCACACCTGAAACCTACATGATCATGTCAACCAATGTCACCCCAATAAAATTAAAAAGTAAATAAAAATTAGAAATAAAATTTACAATAAAACAAAGTGCTGCAATTAGATTTATGCTAAAAGTAGTGTGTTTATCCAGGAACTATAAGCAAAAGTAGCACATTATTAACATCAGATAAATAATATTGAAAAATTTTTAAGTCAGCCCTGGAGGGTGGCTCAGTTGATTAGAGTGTCATCCTGTATACCAAACGGTTGCAAATTCGATTTCTGGTCATGGCACATAACCTACATTGTGGGTTTA